CACACCAAATTTCAAGGGTGGTCAAAAAATTTCATTTCCCACTTTGCTTGAGTCTTACAGAGACCTACTCTTAAGTGTTAAGTAGATCACATCACAGACTTGTTTATATATGAAATAAAAAATGCCTTCCGGCTATGTTCAAGTACGCTTCTATTATTTTATTAAAACACATCCTAAGGATGCAGTTGTTGGGTGATAACGAAGGAAATCTTAATCATCTACAATTATTGTGGGTTGAAAATATCTTCAAGGCAATATGATTATAAAGGATAACAATGAATATCAAGCTTCGGCCTGGTGTCAAATAAACTAATATGTTTTACTTATACAGGGATTTATATACCTCATGATATATTTTCATATCACACTCTCTGATTGGCTGAAAAACTATGTACAGAGAGTATATATAGAGTGATGCTGTAGATATGAAATCAAAATCATTTTCCTATACAAAATAACATGTAAAAATAATGTTATTTATTAAACCTAAGAAATATTCCTGATCATGACCATGCGATGCCTGTCCAGATAAATTCCTTTGCTAAATGTTTCAAAAATTCATAGCTTCGATAGACTTAAATCACCGGCAAGGCAAAGCTTTGACAGGACAAGTCCCAATTTTGGCTGGACAATGTCCGATGTCAGGCTGTTATTTTAAATCCCTGCTGAAGCTGTCCTCATTATTTAACTTCATTATTCAGAGGAAAACCCTTTATTAAAGGGACAACAGGCAAGGTCTCGAAGATACCATAGTTAACATTTCAATCTTTAATCATATTTTAAACAGTTATTTTTAAGGAAGGGTGAAGGGGTGAAGAGAAGGTGTTTGGTTATCAGCAATGGTCAAAGCATAGCCTCAATTTGGAGGGCAAAACGAAAGAATTTTGATCTCATGAGAGTTGGAAACCTATATTGTCATGTCCTTCAAATTGAGCTGCATTCCGACGGACTGCAAGAAGGTTATTGGAGATTGCTAAAACTAGAAAAGATGTGGGTATTTATCTAACACAAATAATACTGGAATTTTGATATGGCTTTGTTGACTACAAGGAACCCGTACTACACATTTTCAATAACGACCTCTGTGTTATTGACAAGAAAACAACAAGAAACAACAGTCATTCCAGCTATTCTAGGGTCTTGGAATGAGCTATTTCTTATCTATTATCGAGATTATATCAATTATCATACCTTATATGTTGGTGTTCACCTTATATCGACCATATCGACATCTTTGTTTGCTGTTTTACATTGGTTAACACTTGAATGTTTATCAAGATCAAAAATATCTAGACTTTCTTAGATATTGTTGGAAACAGATAATAGCTTTGAAAGCATTTTTTTTATAGCCATGGAAAGTAATTGGCTAGTCACTAACAAGGCATTAATTTAAAAAAATCTTTTGTTTTCATTTATGCTAAGAGAACAAAAAAGTAATGCCTTAACATTCCTTACATACTGCTATTTCTGGTACTTTTGTTTTAACCCTAATTGTAATATTTGAATATTCTTAATATAATAATGAGGTAGTTTTCATATGACGTGTGAAATCAAACAATACTTTGTAGCCCTAATGTAGCTTTACCATCTCTTATAGAAGCCTTAGCTAAATGTTATAAGTGGATAAATTACTGGAAGAAAATTGGAAATTCATTTCAATGTTACGGCATGTAGTATCTGATGTACATACTGTAGGTGTACTGTACACTTATGAAAACTGTACAATTTCTGTGTTTTAGTGAAAACTCATCTGATAGTTTAAAAAAATAGAAAACTTACAACAGAAGAAAATAAATACTATTTTTTACTAAGCATAATAATGGCTTCCGCTTCTGATGATTGACAGCAAAGACAAAAAAGTGTTAATCGAGATTTCGGGCGTGGGCAAGGAAACTCTTTGTGTGCATTGCGTAGTGTTGTCCGCATTTAATATTCAAAACGATGGAATTTTTTATATACATACATCGCCATAAATTACAATATCACGAAAGATTTTTTAATTTGACAAGTCATCGGGGTCAAATGGACACTTCAAAATGACACGACAACACTAGAAAGACGAGGTCTTACGTCCATGCATGGCGCGATAGTGTCGTCGCTCAAAAGTTGTGTCTTTTCTCAGCATGTATCTTGTACTTGGGTCAAGAAAGACTAAATATGACCAAAAGTCCTCTAAAACAACAATCGAATTAATGACAAAAACCAAGGAGAGAAAAAAAATACACTTCTGCAAGTGTAAATACGATTTTCGAACTWTTTTTTTTTATGTATCGAGTTCGCTTATCTCGTCTTCAAAACGTGGAACAACACAAGAGGTAATTTGAATTACACACGGGCGCGCGTACTATTAAATTGGACCTCATTTTTTTACGGTTTAAATATTCGAAAAAGATGAACTTTACCCCCGATAAACCGCTAAACAAGGCAAGCTTTCATGTGTGGGCCATTAAAGATATAAAAGAACAAGTTTAAGTGATTCATTGGACTGTATGTTGCGACGATCGAAGTACGCAGCACAGAACGAGAATGCGTGTACAGTACACAACTTTGATTCTTCTTGTGCCCATCATATACTTTCATAAAAACAACTAACAAAAGCTATTCTTTGTAAGTCAAAACAGTAGTTAACGATAGCGAAAGATCGGTACAAAACGACGATAATCGGAGAGAGAATATCGCTGAAACCTAAGCGCAAATAAGACCTTATTATGTTACACCATGCTTCGACGTTAAGTATATTTTCACAGCTCGCGTATTTTCCTTTATTGTTCGTTCAGAATTAAAAGCTGTTGTACTATCCCCAAGTTTATTCCCAAAAGATAAGAAATCTATCGAACTTAACGCCGTGATAGAGGGTTTAGTTAAGAAAACAGATTTTTTCGACGAATATTGCGTGATGAATTCTCAAAGCCCTTACAACCAAATACTTTCGATCGAAACGTTCAACTCGAATTTGCATAAACAATAGTAGCAACAAACGTTTGTTTTCTTTTAACCTTACACGAGGTTTTCCTTTAAATATAACGATATATTCGAGTTAATAAGGATGGATGTGAGTCGTACTGAAAAATTGGAGGTTTTTTGAGATGTTTTGAGGGTTTTTTTCATATTTTTTGGGGGGGAAGATAACAAACTACAACCATGTTAAAGAAGGGGGCCATCACGCTATTATGTTGTCTTACTATGACATTTTAAAAAGTACTCTACAATCACTTACCAGCAATCTCAACCCTTGCTTTTCTACTTGCGATAACTCCTTCGTTGTTTGAAGCAAAGCACTGATATACTCCATCATCATTCACAGCTTCTCTAGATCTCGATTTACTTCGAAACCGTCTTATTACAARGTGACCAGAAGACAAAATGAATCTCGATGAGGTATTTTGAAGCTGAATATCGTTCTTTTTCCAATAAACTGTAGTCTTTGATGAGCCTGTAGCACTGCAGTTGAGAATAACCTCTCTGTTTTTCAAAGCTATAGCGGAAACGGGTTCTTCTAAGAAGCGAAGTGCAGGCTTCGAGTCCGAGGACCCTGGAGGTCATAAAATATGCGTAAAATCGTTAAAAAAAATCTAAAGCATTAATTTTCATACGGAGATATCTACAAACTAAGGCCTTGGAAATTGTTATTTAGACGTCTACGAACTAAAATTCAGGCGTTTGTATTTTAGTTTTTGGAATAATAAAGGATATAAGGGGGTACGAGAAGAGATATGGGTAGATGGACGTCGTTGTCGTCGTGAACGTTTAGCAAGGAACTTGGTATTTATTTTTGCTACATGTACGGGCCACACAAGAGAGACCTTGAATCATGTCTGACCTTAAGAAAGAAGATTTGTGTCATTTTACGTGTTTCTTAACCACACAAAGATGCCAAAATATTCTCAGCTCAAAAGGCCAATCGTTTTACATACGACTGTCCCGATAGACTTCGTATTGTTGTATAAGTTATTTAGTGTGTTCACCCGGGTATAAGGATCCTTTATCTCAGTCTACGATTCAATTTTTTTCTCACAGACAAACTCCATAAACAGTTAAACTACAGTCATAACAAAGAGTTATTCAACTCGTACACATAGTATTGAGCAAAGCTAGTTCGATGTACTGTCCGTCCATCAAATTAGCAAGCGCAGCAAAGCTCATAGCAAGACAGCTGGAAGAATTGACTGTCCCTATGGATCCAAAATAAACCTTAACGACCTCATCTCTGCTAAATGTTTGGCTTTATCCCAGTCTCGTCTAAAGAACGTAAATTTAGATGACCCAAAGAGCGAAAATCCAGGGGTGTAAGATACTTTGGAGCGGGAGTTTGGGGGAACGATGGTTGGAATGGTTTGTTAAACGAACAGTGACGCCGAAAAAACTCTTCAAACAAGACGATCTTTTCGTTAACACTCACCTAAGACACTGTAGATTCCAACTACGACAACAATAGCAATCAAGTTCATCGAGATTTCCTAGGAATAACCACTACATTTGGCTAAGTTTTGGCCCTCAATATATTCTTGTATTTCACGGTACGGGTTCGTGTTGATTTCGACTCTAATGACAGATTCCAAGCTGACATGTAAATGCTCTACCAATCCGACCAATCGCAGAATACTATTCCTAGCAAACACCTCATTGACCAATCAAAAGCGAGCATTCTTAACCATTGGACATGTAAATATACCAAAACCTTGTCAATCATTTTGACGAGTTGTTACAAATAGGACTTGGTACCGCAGAAACAACGTGTAYCTTCAACAGTGTTTTTTCTACGATTTTTGTTCTTTCGTAAGTTTTATCGAGTAAAAAAGCAAAAATCTAGAGTGATCTTTAGGCCGAAAAACTGGTACAAAATCCATATCGATCGTGTTTGTTCACGATTTTCGATTATTGCGTTGTTCTTAAAGAACAATGGCTTTTGAATTTGCCTCTGGCGAGATGGGCGAATGTCATAGACATTTTAATTATGCTTTCTCGAAAATCATATATTTGACTGAGACTATTTTGCTGGCATTATCAATTTTCCAATTGAAATGAGTTTGAAAGTAAAGCTTGCTTCTTTTCGTGCAAAAAAGTGTGAAAATGTTGGCTTGTTTACGGCAAATTTGTTGAAACTTAATTATACATTATCTGCATAAACACAGAAGCAACTAAACTATTGTGTGGAATAAAAATTTTGTGGAATTCCAATTCCTTTTTTTATAACACAACTTAGTTTATTTAAGTATTAGCTGATGACAATGAAGGTCAATATTAAAGTATTTATAGTGAAATAACACGGCCGGTATCATTTCAATCATCTATTTAGTTATTCATTTATTTTCATCCCATCTCATTTATTGTTATTTACTATTATTGTTATAACACAATCTATGATATTTGATCTATTTTGTTAATTCTATTCTATTTTTATTTATTTATTTTCAGTGCTAATTTAATCTTTTTTGAATCGGCTTTTTGTTTTAATTTACTTATTACCTCTTTATTTATTTGTTTGTTTTTATTTTTATTTATTTATTTTTTGYATTTCTCACAATACTTTTGTTTTACTTTATCTTATCTTATTTTAGTTTAGTTTTAATAAATTATTTATTTTTTTACTTTGTAATGTCGTCATATATAGGTTTATTAGTTATCCTTCGGAATATTTTCTTATTTTATTTCATTATATTAATTTTCTCGTGCGATATTTTATTCTATATATGTCTTTGCATCGTATTTCATTTCATTTTATTCCATGTCATTTAATTCAGTAAAATATAGTGTTTTTTTTTTATTAAATGAACTTTAGTTAATTCAATAATTTTAAATTTCATTATGACATTTAAACTTTCTTTAATTTTGCTGTATTTCATTTMTTAAATTTCATTTCGCATATTCACATTATTTTTGAGTTCAATTTTTACTTTACTTAATCAAGTTTCGGGTTCACTACTTCGATGACATTTTCCTCTAACTTTACAAAAAGGTGTTGTCTTTTCGATGTTGTCTTCCTTGTTTTCATTGACCTTGTATTATTTATTTAATTGAACGCGCACGTAGACTTATATCACATGTCTATATTGATACTAGGCAAATTAAAATGCTAGAACAAATATCGTTCTTAGGGGCCGTTTACATGGAGAAAACTAGCCCCTGGTAGAAGGGATACGTAACCTCTTCCCAACCTCCCTGGGTGAGCTAACTCCCTACTTTCTTTGTAATTTCATTGGTTTACATGAGATTTTCTTCTTCTTCTTCTTCTTCTTCTAAACTGGATCCCCCGGCCCGACTGGTAGGGTTACCCTCGTTGCGAAAGAGGGTGACCCTGGTGCACGGGGTAACTTTTCCCCATGTAAACACTTTAATTAAAACGCCTAACCGAGCATGCGTATCTCCATTGAAACCGRTACCACACATATTACGCGATCGATATAGTTGGCTCTAGTAGAAAGGTGTCCCTGCTACCAGGGACAAGTTCCGGCTCCATGTAAAAATGAAATTTAAATTTGTATTCCAATAGTACAATAGTCATGTTTGCCGCTTATCTTACATGTTGAACTATCTCGTGACAGTGATCATTAGCATATGATATATGACGTGTGTTTCTTGAGTACCATATATAATTTAAGTCCCTAAGCAGATAAAAGCTACTTAAAAAAAGGATAAAACCTATTTTCCAATATATGTGATGTACAATTGCATTCGTTCAAATTTTTTTAATACATCCTAAAACCTATTACTTTTTTTTTTTTTTTTTTTTTTTTTTTTCCCCCTTTTAGAATTATAAATTAATTCCCTTCGTTCAAATTCTAAGCTCAAGATTGGATTTAGGGCTTTCCTTAATTATATTGTTTGTTTTTGTATTGTTTACGTTAGTGAAAATTTTCTGGCTTCACCAACTGCCAGCAGTATGGTAGTTTTGTGAGCCGGAGGGTTGTGGTTTTGATACTGGAAGATTCAGTGCAAGGACGTACGTACGTTTCTGAGCAAAAGACCTCATATCGTCAGATTTTTWAAAAATTTTGCCTGATCAAACTACATCATCCGGTTGTTCACACCGATCCCTCGGAGCAAAATTCCGAAGACCACTCCCCTTACTAAGAATTACACAATGTCTCATTTCCTTAGCAGACCACCTGTCACTTCTCTTGAGAATAAGCTGGTCCAGGGGCGTAGCGAGAKCTCTGTAACATTTTCCCGCCAAATCCACAGGAATCCCGATATATGTGATTGAAATAACTCTTAGTCAGTAAGCTTTCTCCCACTGGGCCTAAAAATGTTTTTGTTACAGTCGTAAATAAAAATAAATAAATTGACTTTATTTAACAAGGGTGRCATACATTACTGGTAACCCAGTAGTTTCCATTATGGCGCTCATACAATTAATAAACTGAAATGAATGATCAAAGAAACATAAAGTGTGTTAAGAATCCCAACTGGCAAGGAGGCAAACCAGTTGGCTATTTACAAGCATGGTCGAGAAATCCATACCCATACGTCTTCTCATGCCTAATTACTCAGAGAAATTATTATACTCTAGAGGAACACTAGACGCTGCATGGAATGGGACAACGGTGCACGTGGGTATCATGATTCAAAGTCTCACAGAATTTATATCAAAAAATATCCACCACTACATTCAATTTTGACGTAAAACTCTCAATTCAAACGTTGATTTTTATGGCGAGGCAAAAAAACCGTAAACCTGAAGAAAAACCCCCTGTCTCAAGGAAAGACAGTCAATATTTTAATCGTTCCAGAGTTGTATAAATGCGTTCATAAATCAGTTTACAATTTATGTATGCATCATGATCAAGAAATGAAATAAAAGAATTTGAAAAACAAAAAAATTGAGTTCAGAACTTTATCACTTTATCACTTTTTTAATTAATTAGTTCATTAATTTTACTTTCTTTACTTTTCATTATCAGCAAGCGAATAAGACGCCCGGTACTCGGCATAAGTAATGAAGCTTCCCCTAAAACTGCTCAATGATGCAACACGACGTTCTGCTTACTTTGGAGCGGCTAAAGGAAGGGAGAGGCCAAGAGTTCTTGAGAGTATGATAGCAATCGCTGATTAAGACTATATATCAACAATAATGTATAAGATAGTAGCTTAATTGTAGTAAAGATAACATACGATGGTCACGGAAATCGTAGAAATAGATTTCCCACGGTATCAGGAGAATATTCAACACCAAACGCATYAACATGCAAAAAATACTGATAGCGTTGAGCGATGGTCTTGAAGTGTAAATTTTTTTTCATGGGAGCTGGAATTTGACTTTGGCTTGGAAAATGGGAATTTATGCACTGGAAATGGAATGGATTCACAAACAAGCCAAAGAAAAAAAAGATCAAAATATGGAAATAGGAATCGGATGGAGCAAAACATAGGCCCTTTCAGGTCCATTCTCCTTATTTTACGAGGGTATAGTACGTAATACCCAGATTAATTAAAAAACCTAGCCACTATGGCCCTCTAGACTGGGTGAACTCGAAGAATAATCTTCAAAAGCACAGGAGAGTACCACACGAAACTCTCAATGCTCGTATACCAGCTGTTTTGTGTCATTAACTTTGCTTTTTAGGTCACGTGACACCAGCTATTTATATCCTTCCTGTTATTCTACTTTGTTCAGCGTGCATGTCACGCATGTCACGTTTGCTTTTTACTTCCGCTGATTCGAGTGGAATACACCAGTTTTGCATTCGATGCATACAGGGACGGCGGAACTGCCCCCCTACAAATGTTTTATAGGGGGCCAGCCCCCCCCCCCC